GAGATTTTCTTCCACAACGACGACTTCCCAAAGAACCTTTTCAATAAGCTTCTTGATTCTTTTAATTGCAATATGCAACTCTAACGGTCGAAACTCTTCTTTGTGGTTGGCGAGCATGGAGAGTTCGGCAGTGCTAGAGCTAATCAGACTATCCACAACAGATTCTTTTTTTTTGTGAGTGAAGGAAAGTCAAACGTGTGAGCTAACCAAAGGAAACAAAACTTCAATTAACAATGTCAATCACCTTTACGCGTTTTGGATTCGCGAATAGCCGCAACAGCTTTTCCTACAAATAATACATCTTCTCCTACAGCAGCAGGTATGTATGAAGGAAGCATGGTATCGATAAGCTCAAACTCTGCATTCCTAAAAAAACAGACAATTTAGAACCAAAACTTCCCTCTAACCCATTTTCTAAGTTTATCACCAACGATTGACGCTTTCGTCCTTTTCCCTCTTTCCAATAAAGAACTCGAGGTGAGGGTCAATCAATTTCCCATAAACCATCCACGAAACGAGTTGTCTTCCAAGAACAAAATTCACAGCAGACAGAAATAGAAGCCAAATGTCTTTCAATTCTTGGACTCCAGTTGAATGCGCCATTTTGTACAAGGCATTGTTGATGGCGAGGCCGTGTAATCGCGCTTGGTGTGTTGGACTCGTCGTAAAGACAAGCGACAAGAATGCCAGCAAATGAGGGAATATTCTATGAAACTACATGGAATCAAAAGGAAGCCAATCTGTTGTTTTGGAGGTTGTTTGGCTCTTACTTTGGCCAACCCCATGTCCAACTTTGCCATCGACAGCCGGCCATCGCCCTCCTTCAGCGCCTCTGTTTCACACTTTCTGAGTTCGGCCTTGTATTCGGAATTGAGCCATGATAAGACTGCAGATCTCAGGGCTTCTGCGTAGGAAGATTTGGTTTTGACAGAAAGGAGTTTGGACAGTTTCCCATAGCAGCAAGCCAATGAGAGAGTGCGAGCAACTATAACTTGCTCTGATGCGTGCAGGAAAGATTCAGGAATATCCGTAGGGGCAGTTGTAGTTCCCAGGGCGAGATGGGCCAGCAGCTGGTGCAGCATTTCTTTTTATTTATTTTTAAATACTTTCAATGCAGCCAGTGACGCGGTTCTCGCTCGCGCCGCTGTCGCTGCGGCTGCGGCTCGAGCTGTCGCGGGCGGCGTTTGTCAGCCTCGACACTGAGTTCAGCGGGCTTGGCGGGGCGGCGACGCGCGCGGCCGACCTCGCAGCGCGGTACGCGGCGCTGCGGGCGACGGCGACGGCGTGCGCGCTGCTGTGTCTCGGCGTCGCCGCCTTCCGCGAAACTGGCGCCGCCGCCGCCGCCGCCGCCGCGCGCGCGTTCGACTTTGCGCTGCGCCCGTCCGCGCCGTTCGAAGTCGCGCCGGCGTCTGCCGCGTTTCTGGTCGACCACGCCTTCGACTGGAACAGAACTTTCAGAGAGGGAATCGACCCGGCACAGCTCAAAGACCTGTTTGCATACATTGTGCAGCTCAACGTGCCCATCGTCATCCACAACGGCCTGCTCGATCTGATGTTCATCTACCAGACTTTTTACACGGAGCTGCCGCCCGATCTCGATACTTTTGTTGCCGATTTGCACGACCTGTTCCCAGCTGGAATCGTGGACACAAAGTACATTGCCGATTATGTCTCCCATGAAAAAGCTTCTTACCTGGCGTACCTGTATCGTAAATAGTTGAGTTGAGAATCTTTGTTTCTGCATCAAGGATATTCCAAACTGATTCATGTCGTCTGTAACATAGCGAACGTAATATTCTCAAGTCACAAACGACTTCAATCCAACTTCTACCACCCATCGAATTCTCGTCTCCCATTACAATTCCACAATCCGCTCTTTTGCCAAATGGGGAAATAAGTGCAACTTTATCGTTGAAGAGCGACAACTCAGCTGGAACAACTGTGACAAAGAAAAAAAGGTCAAAGCAGCAAGAAAGGGATGATAGAAAAGTTTACTGTGTGCAATATGCTGTGAGTATCTTAGCTATTGATGACTTTGCGACGTTCAATGTTAAACAGTCGTTTTCTTTAAAAGTCACACGGATACTGCGCCAGCGGGCCCGCGTGTGCAAAGTCCCACGATCTGGATATAATTCTTGATGAAGAAGAAGCAGAGTCTCTTCAAAATGCAGGAAAGAAGAAGGCAAAGGGAGAATCCACCAATGCGATATCAAAGGCAGCAGTAAATTCAACCCCAGATGTGACCAATCCGCCGTCACCAAAAGTTGTCGTGAAACAAATTGCAGCTATTCCAGGCTTGAATGCTTCTGAACCTGCAATTCCAGCAATCACTCCAGCCCTTCTCCAAACCTACCACTCTGCTTCATTTGACGCGTACATGACTGGATACGTATTTTTCGCCCAATTACAAGCCCTGCAGCCAGTTGCACCAAACTCTCCACCCATCACACTAAAAGAGCAACTCACTGCGTTTGTGAAATTGCACGGGAATAAGTTGTATCTGATTGGGAAAAACATACCGCTCAGCATCATCAAGAGTTCGTTTTCAAAAACGAGTATTGGACATGCGCGCATGAAACTGGCGTGGAAAGATCAGGCTGCATCTGCGAGTTGAGGGATTGTAAATAAAACGCAATGGTTTTTTTTTATTAGACTTTGGTTAAAATTACTCTGCTGCTAATCACTTTGGATGGAAAGCATGTCACAACAACAGCTGCTGTCTCATCTTTACGGATATCATAGGATCTGATTACTTCAGCGACAAGCAACTTCATTTCGAGCTTGGCGAGTTGAAAAGCAAGACACATCCCTTCGCCCATTCCAAACGGAATAAATTCGGTTGGATGCAGTTTGTCAAATGCTTGGTCTCCCAAAAAATGGCCCAACGAGAATTCCTCAGGGTTTGATGGGAGGAACAGGCCTTGCTCGCGGACTGCATCAATGATTGTTCCTGCTGGAACATGGACTCCATTCAGAGTTGTATCTTGCAAGAGAATACGAGTGGGGGCTGGTAGCACTGGGAATACGCGCATCGATTCCTTGATGAAAGCTTCCAGCTGGACACCCAATGAACCAAATGCTTGTTCCGAGTCAAAAAGATCAACCGTTTTAAAAACCTCCTCTCTAATAGCTGCTCTATCACGATCAGAAAGAGAGTATACCAAGTGATGGAACACTGTTGCCAGCTGCTTCGAAGTAGTTTCAAACCCAGCAAACAACAGATCCAAAAACAGCTCCGCAATCTCCAAATCACTAAAACTATTCCCACTGACATCTTTGGAATCAATAAATGCCGAAAGCGAATCCGTGAAAACCTCTCCTTGACTCATTGCCGCCCGTCTTTCTTGCGCCATTTTTTGACACACCAGCAGGATCCGAGAACGCGCCGCCCTCGCCTTTGGAATCTTATTCCCCGTGAAATAATCAACCCAACGCGGTCTAAACTCCGCCAAGAACCCTGTAGAAAACACAATAAAGTCTTGTTCCAGCGCCTCCAGCCGCGCCGCGTACTCTGGACTCTGACCCACCAAGAACACACACACGGCCCTATACGAATACGCCTGCATAAACGGCATCGGATCCACGCCTTCCAGAAGGCCTTGCGACGCCTCCGCCAGCGCCGCAGCCGTTTCCCGCGCGAGTCGGCGCAGCCGATCAAAGTGAAATCCAAGACTCGCTTTCGAAAACGCCTTGGCGCAGAGCGACCGAATGCGCCGGTGTTCGTGTCCGACGGCGCGGAAGATTGATTTGGCGCCAAAGAGTGTTGTGAAGGATGGATCGCCAATGAGTGGCCGCGTGCTGCACTTGCCGAGGAGGTGCTTGGCAAGCAGGGGGTCGATGACCATCAGCACGGGTTGAGGCATCCCAGGCAGGGTCACAAAGACTGGCGTTTTGAGCGTGTGTAGGCGGTGCGGGAAGGAAGGGTCGAGAACATCGGAGAGGTTGGTTGTAAAGAAGTGCGGCCATGGCGTTGGAAGGTGTGGGAAATTCCTCTTTTCGATATACCATATGTTGTATGCAGCGATGGCAGCGACTGCGGCTGTGAAGGATGCCGTCAAAGTGAATGAGTTCATATTGAAATCATCCAATTTATGACATCATGGGATAACAGAATCGTCTCTCTTCTCGAAAGTATCTGGACTCGCCAGCAATTCGCGATTGGGGTCAGGTTTCAGTGGCGTAACTGGCGTTTTTGCGCTGGGGCCCGTCTTTTCAAACAGTATGTGCTCGGTGATATCTTCCACTTTTGAAGGAGTATTATGTGCACTGAAGTCAATTTGGGGTTTTGTCTAAATATTTCGTAAAGATGACTAAAACATGGTTTGAATTCGATTTGGGTTGAAGTATTTTCTGTGGCTGGGGGTTTACACAATTGGACCCATTCCAAAAGAAATCGGTCGTTTCACAAGTTCCCAGCGATCTAGAGACCCTCGAATTGAGCCAATTGCCATCTTACCGGGAGTTTACCACACGAATTAACGCAGCTTGTTAACCTTTCATTTTTGAGCCTTTTGCTCCTAATCAACTGGAAGGATCACTTCCGGAAAATCTGGGCAATCTAACAAACTGCGGTTAAAATTTCGGTTTCCTGGGGGGAGTTGCCAAAGTCCATCTCAACCTGAATTGGAATTGTATGACAATAATCTTTTCTGGTGACCTGAAACGCTTGGGAATTTAATCAATGCTGCGAGCATTGTCATGTACAACAACAATTTCACGGGATTTTTGCCGTCAGAGTTGCTTCGCCTTGAAGAATTGTAAGAGTGCGATTTTAGTGGTATATTATGTTGGCTTGTTTTGTAATTTTGAGTTGCCATATTTGAAGTTGTAACTCGTCAATAATAAAATCATATTGATGCTCTCATTCAAGGAACGTAATTGAATCTCGCTGTGCCATTTTTTTTTAACATTGCATATTGACACGCCACCGCATCTAAACAAGTAGTAGCACTATGTAAACCAAATCAATCACCAACTGTTCCCATAAGACCCAAAAGCTGCGTCCCGCACAGGATTCGAACCTGCGCTCCCAGAGGGAAATGCCTTAGCAGGGCACCGCGTTAACCACTCCGCCAACGGGACTTGGATTCTCCTCAGCTATTAAAAAACTTGGAGCTAAAATTTTATTCACGCAATCCAATTGAACAGAATCCGCGTGTAGACAATAGTAGAGTTTAGTTAATGTGACAATAAAACCTAATAATACTGCCAGCCATTGCTAAAATCTCTGCATAACACTCGCCAAAAGTTCAGAGTCATCCAACTAACGGACTTTTCGAACTAAATACGTTTTAAAGGTGTAACTTTTGTTCTGTTTGGAGCTCTTCGCTTTTTGGAGGATCAAATTCGCAAGGAATACGCAAATGTTGGGATGGTATTATGAGCCAATTGATATCAAAGCAATCAGGAAGTTTTAAGAAGAATCCTGACTCGGATCTCACGCTTGAAGTTTAAAATAACAAAGGCAAAGCCTGGAGGTCTGATAATGTAATCCATCAAAAACGATCGAGGGCCAGAATTAAGTATCTTTCTTGGAAGTATTTTTGCGGCCCTTTTTTAATTAAGCTGCGATCGGTGGATAATATAGACCGAATTATCCAAGAGTAGAATGATCGTTTATATAATATGAAACAATTAATTAAAGAATTCCAAACCACTATCAATAATCAATAACCCGCACCTGCGATCGGTGGATAATATAGACCGAATTATCCAAGAGTAGAATGATACTCTTTCCGATCGCTCCCATGGCTCTTTATGTATCCTTTTCAATTTGTCCCGCCGACCCGCCAGAATTCCAGTCGCTATTAGCCAAATTCCTCTTCTCCAAATTCTGACCACCTCCTTCCGTGGGAATAGGACTCATGACCTGTTTCCACACACTCCCCTTCATGAGTCCTAAACCCGCACTACCTATTTCGTGATTTCTTCCAGATAACCCTTTTGTTAAGATATCAGCACGGTTTTCTTTTGTAGGACAGTATACCACTCGAATCAATCCCTGCTGGTGTAAATCCCGCAATACCATGTACTTGATGTCTAGATGCTTGGTTTGAGGTCGGATCGCCCCATCCTCCAAATTGGTCACAGCCATCAGGTTATCGCATTCCAGTTTGCACGGTTCCTCAAATGGGTATCCGAAGTACCCACACATATTCCTTGCCCAAATAGTCTTCTTCGCCAACGTCAAGGTGGCCTCAATTTCCGCGGCAGTTGTCGAGTCAGCTACCGTCGGCTGCTTCTTACTTGAAGCATAGATTGCTGCTCCCATCAGAATAATAACATTTCCTGATATGGATTTCCGGTCAGCTAGATCGTTGGCCCAATCTGCATCCCCAACAAAACCAGGCTTTAGATCCAGGCCCACCGTTCGAATCTTGGCTACGAAATCTGGCGACCGACGAAATACCAATTTCCAATCGGAAGACGATCTCAAGAATCCACATATGTGTTGAATCATACTCCAGTGGACAATCTTCCATTGGTCAGGCTTATTGGCAATACTCGCTAATTTCCCAGCAACAAACGATAAGTCCGGACGGGCCTCTAATATCCATCTTAGTAGGCCCGCAACTCCCCTCAAGCTTTTGTCCTTCATAAATTCTTGATCCTCTTTTGTCGGTTTATCAATACTCATGAATTCCGATTTTAAGGAATCATTCCATGGGTAAGTACGATGTTCCTTCGAATCCTCCTGATATCGGTCCAAAAACTCATTCACGTACGCCTCCATATCCAATGCTGTCCATCCGTCACCCATTGAAATCCGGTACCCGATATGCTTTGTTAAGGGTTTTACCTTGATCTTAAATTGTTTCTTAAGATGCTCGAGAAATTGGTCGACTACTTCTTTCAACTCCGGATCATAGAACACTGGTGCATCGTCCGCATGGATTGGAGTTACGATTATCTTCATTCCAGTTTCGGTTTCCCTTTTGTAAACAAATGTTGATGGTTCGAAAGGACACCGCTCAAAACCAAACTCCAAGATTGCCGTATCTCGTACCAAATCCCAACCTACAGCTGCGTCGGGCTGCCCATAAATATTGGTTAGTAATTTCCATAACCAGCCTTCCTTTCCTGGTTCTTGGAAACACTTTGGTGGCCGTAAATACAAATCCCGCGTTGGTTTCCCATATAAATGTGCCCCCTCCCAGTCAATATGAATAGCGTCCATTCCCCGATGAGTCCGCAATGCTATACAGAACTTGAAAGCCTCATGGCTCGGTGTGGCGGAATAGGATTTGTCATAATCTCGTCCCTCCACCATTCGGCTTCCATTTCCACATACTCTCACCCGATTAACCATTTGGGTGGGATCCTCATCACTAATTTTTGTTTCGGTTACCACGACACTACTCATAACCGTTGCCCCTTTTGGCGCATACTGAGTCCACTCAAAACGCCCATCAAACTTCCGTCGTTCTTTCTCAATTGCCGCCGCCCACTCCTCCATCTCCATCGCATCCTTAATTGGAGGTCCTGGGACTGTTATTAATGCCGACCCGTCACATTTATCCCCTTCGGCGACCAGCGACATCGCCTTCGCCACCTGCTCCCCTGAGCTCGCCAACATCCATTGTGTTTGGGCGCTCAACAATATAGATTGGTCAAACACCTGTCCTAATTTCTTGCTCCAGTTTTGAGCCGGTCCTCTACTTCTTAATACACGAGTTGACAATCCGGCCGGTGGTCGCCTTGGTGCCTCAGGAACTTTGTAAGTTGGGGAACTTGGCGGAGTAGATTGGATCGATTCTATTGGAGATGTTGGTGCAGTGACAAACTCCTGGGGAGGTGAGGGCTCATCGATCGCCTTATCAGCCTCATCGTCACTTTCATCCTCCTCGTCAGTAACAGCCACGTTTTTCTCCCCTTGATCCGTAGGGATCACTAGTTGCTGTCTCACATCCCATTTTGACAATGTAACTGGCTCATGGAGTGGCCTTGGGCTATGAAAATCAAATTGATCTTCAATAAAAAATACATCCCGTGATATAACTACCGATTTTGGGTCATTCGGGTCCAACAATATTTTATAGCCTCCATAATATTGTACCGGTTGTGCATCATATGTAGCCATCCCAATAAATATTCCTAATTGGGCCCTTGGGCCCAGTTTGCCATTCGATCGGTTCTTGGGAAGGATGTAGACATAGGCCAGACATCCAAACACTCTCAGATCCGCTATTGACGGTGGAACCTTCCACAGCGCTTCATAAGGTGTCCTTTCCCCTACTCGATCGGAATGTATATTCCTGTTACTAATATAACAGATCTGTTGGAACCCATCTGCCCATAAACGTTTGTCACATCCTGTCGACTGCTGATGCGAATTCCAACTATCCAGAGCCATACGAAAGAACCCCTCCTGTGCCCCATTTGATTGATGTTCCTCTGTACAAGTTAGCCGCATTGTAATTCCGGCATCTTCCATAAAACTCTTCAACTCTTTCGACGTTTGTTCTCCCGCTTGATCATGATGCCACATCAACACTTTCTCCCCAGAGATTCGTTCTAACATTGCAGTAATCCATTTGATCTTTTCTGCAACTTCCCACTTATGACGCAACGGGAATGCCATCCGATATTTACGACGGTTCCATACGGTTGCACCCAAAATATATTTGGCTCCTCCCAATGATTCAATCGGCATGTACAGTAAATCCAGTCTTCAAAACCTGTTACTGCTCCGGACCGGTATGTACGCGCCATAATTTTATGACTGGCACACATCATTCGGTTATGCCAGATACTCCATGTTTTCTTAACTGGTAAACTTTGACCCAGCATTGCCGAGCCTACCTCCGCTTCCAACTCTAATTCAAATAATCCATTCCTTTCAAATCCCTTGGCATGAGTGACCGGAACTCCAGTTTGGCCTAAGTGACCTACATTAACCGAGTAACGACCGTCCTGTTCTGTTGTAAACCACACATCCATCCCCAGCTTGGATACGATAGCAAATACTGAGAAAAGAGTTGTTGCCGCACCGGGGACCACCATAATGTTCGATAGTGTAAACGGTTCCGGGACCTTTGTTGTCCCCGTAAAACTGCCTATGAGCCCGTTGGACGAAATAGATCCTTTATTGGCGGTCCCGAATCTTACAATCTTTCCAGTTTGGCAGATGTCCATCAACAGGGAATCATCGGGGGTTATATGGTTTGGTGTACACCCGGAATCGACTGCACCTTTTAGAAAAACTCTGGACGGCATCGAATAAGCAGCAGACGAACGTTTATTGATGTTCTCATCGTCTTCAATAAACTGGAAGGTGAAACCAGTTGAATTTCCTCCACTTCCATTACCCGCACGACGGTGCCGTTCCAACACAATTGTCTTCCCAGCCATTGGCGCCAATGACGTTTTCAACGCACGGTCTACAGCTGATGCCTCTTGGTATTCGATAAACGCCAAACCTCGGTGGATCCGGACGGACTTGACAACCCCAAAACGCTGGAACGCATTCTTTACCGCGTCCTCAGTCACACCATACGGCAAATTCTTGGCTACCAACTTCTTGTTAGGATCCTCACGATGCCCTACTTGGTCAATTCTTCTTTGGTCACGGTTCATTCCTCCTACCGGTAACTGATTGCGGGGATTTTCACGGACAACTCCTTCCAATTGCAGTGCGGTCGCCGGTTCTACTCCTGCTCCTTGTCGGGAACGTGTTTCTCGACGGACATCTTCCGACGCCAGGTTAACCAACTCCACTCGCATTCTTTCAAAAGTGTCCGCATTCTTGTTGTGAAATAACGCTGACAAACGGTTGACGTCACGTTCATTAATACCCAATTTAAAGTTCTCCGCCATTTCCTTTTCAAATAATTCCCCTCTTTCCCCCAGTCTCGTCAACTCTAAATACCAATTATAGTACTCCATCATGTATTCATAATATGAGTGGTTTCCTTGGTACGCGGCTCTAACTTTGACATATATTTCCGCCTTCTGAATATCCGTAAAATTCTTTGTATCGGTAAGCACCGTCTGGTATCCTTGGTAAAGAGACGATGCTGAACAGAAAACTTTGAAAAGTGTTTCCGACAAGAACGGCTTGATGGCGGCTTTAATATCCGAAT